CCTTCTTCCTCGGATATTCCATGTGTGTAACAGTGCATCTTCCCGAGCTCTATTTCAGGCTTTCCTTCCAATTTGTAAATTATTGAATTATTTTTGAAGAGGGAGGCTTGCCGAAACTCACTGAAGCAAGGGCTCTACGAGGTTTAGCTTAACAATGCTATCTGCCTCTAATCAATCCATCAAAGATCTGAGGACAAAATTCGTCCCTCATGACTGGACGGAGCTTTATGATATTTTGTTGGGTCTGGATCCCACAAGCCGTGTTCAGAGATGAGTTCTTCGAGGGTGTCTATTCGTTCTGAAGGAGGTGGTGTCGGAGTAAATTAGCGTCCTCATAAAGCCAGTGAGGTTATGATTATCCCCCGGAGGGCCTAGATAGGTATGCTTCCTTAGCGACGTTCTGTATCATCCCCTGACCAAGCACTATCCGAGGAAGTCATTATTAGAATGAAACACTTTCATGTTATATTCATCGAAAATAAATCCCTGTTTGTTTGTACCAATCTTTGTCCCTACTACATAAGAAGGAGGATGCCCGGCGTAGCCGGGCATTACATAAGAAGGAGGAGAGCCCGGCGTTAGCTGGGCGATCCGACTGGTTACTGATAAAGCGGAGCAACGCCTTTTTCTTTTGTTCAAATCTCTGTGCTTTAAGGATTCGCAGCTTCTCATCTTGGCATACAAAACTTATGTTAGACCTATGCTTGGATATGGTAGATGGTTCTCTCTATGGTTCTCTCTTAGTAAGAAAGCCTTGGTGAATCGGATTGAGAGAATCCAAAATAGTTTCACTAGGTAGGTTTTCCTCCGTTCACTCGGCTTCACGTATCGCAGCATTCCGCGAAGTATCTTTAGGAACACTAAGCTAAAGTAAGTCTCCCTTAAGCTCCGACGAAGAAAGAACGATCTTTTGATGGTATTCAGAATTCTTCACGGCTTGATTGATTTCAAATCTGGAGATTTCTTTAAATTATATCAGTCATCAACACGGCGTCAACCACTAAAAATTCTTCTTTGCAGGTCATGTTCTTCCGTGAGTAGCAACTTCTTCATTTTTAGAGCTGGATCTGTTCTCTTAAAAATTACCAAAAAGTGTACGGTGCCGGGTTTCATAGCAGGTTTCAAAAAACTGTTGGATAGAAATCTTTCTCTTGCTAACTAGTTTTTTATTGGTGTACCAGATATTCACTTTTGTTCGCATGCATTCTTTTGCTCTCTTCTTACTGGTGTTCTTGATTTGTTTGTCTGTATGTTTCTTTTTACTTCTTATAGATGTTTTGCTATTTGTTGTTTTGTTTTGTTTTCATTTTGTTTTTTTTGTTACATGTGTGCTGCATGTAATAAAACTTGGAACATAAAACATGTATTGAGATCTCTAAACACTTTGCTCATTACCGTAGGCAATTGGATACGTTTTTCAGCTATGGGAAGAAAACCGCATTCCTAAACAGGCAAGGTAAATCTACTTTGAACTTTGAACGATAAAGCTTGAGCTACGCTATCAAACATCCCTTTGAAAGGCGAAACTGACCTACCATTTCTAAATCGACGAGATTCAAAAAACTTCTGTACAAGGGCTCACACATGCAATCAATGGTCGATTCTCTTCCAACAACAAAACACATATTGAAATTCAGCTGCCCACGCCCGAACCATGTTTCGTGCTCTGCAAATCTTATCGTTGAGGCAAATATGCCCCATACAAGTGAAAATTCTGTAAAGTAATGCTTTTACAAGTTGGTCGCATTTTGTTGTTTCGCCAGGAGCCATATCGCTCAATACTACCAACCTCATCTTTACCCAGTAACAAGCAGAATGGAGTCAAAAAAAAAGACAAGGGAGCAGAAATGCAGTGAAAGGAATAAAAGAGGAGTGGTTGCAAAGATATTCTCGCTTTGGATGCGTGCGAAGGGTTGAATCCACGGTTATCCCAAAATGAAACTTCGTTCATCACGAAGTGCTTGTACAAAGTAGGATGGCTCCGTCTCAGCCGCGTCTTAATGAATATTATGCGGTATTGGGCTAGTATTTTTGAACTTCGATGAGCGCGTGTGCACTCGCTCTTGATCAGAAATGGAGCCCACATACGTTACAGGAAACAACAAACACAAAGATCACTTACTCAATCCGATAGGATGCCCCATAACCTTGAAATCTAGCAGATTCAGCTTGACGAGACCATTCAACATTTCATCTTTAGGAATGATAGCAGCCGAAAATGCAGAAAAACATTCTGGAGATACCACATTTTGGTCGTCAGGAATCTCAATGACAAACTCAAAGCGAATAAACAACTATCATGCCTCATCTCGATTATGACGAGAAGATCAGAAAGACTCTCACCTGATAACGAATGACAGGTCCAATGTCAATGTTGAACTCTGCATAAAATATTGCTTTGAGTTTTGGAATGTCGGCAAAGCGATATTAACCCCACCAACACCATTGAGCCATTATTGGAAGGCATTAATACTACTGACCCAAGGCGAGTAAAATGTAATTCTTGGAAATCGCGGTAGAGGAATACCGAACTACGGCAGCTTTTCTATTTTTAAACGTCGTAGATTCCAGTGGAGTTCGGCAGAGATCGCTCCAAGAACCCAACCGCACACAGATCCCGCAAAATTTGGAAGTGGATAACGCTGAAAGCAAACCACTTTGAAACACGATTTTTCCGTCACGAACAACGTCAAGGGCAAGACATAGGTTCTGTATTTTGATAATGGCTCATAATATAATAGGCAGAGAACACGGAAATGGACGCCTTGTATGAGAATTTCAATATTCCAGAGGGATAGAAGTTCGCCTTCCCCCTGGCGAAAGCGCGTCACCTGGCCACTCACGACATCGGGGTAGTGAAGTCCGTCAGGAAAGCGAGGGTGTAATCCTGAGGACGCCCGGCGAGGTCAGGCGTAGGTGAAAGGAATACTTCTACAGGTTCCCTAATGAAAAAATCGCCCGTATAAACAGCTCCCGATTAGAGGCAACGGCTAGCCCCATCAAACTCAGGACAGAGGATGAAAGATAACTGGTCTATCATTATTCTGTGTTTTCATTGCGATAACATCCGCACTTGATATTTACTCGTTCACTCTTTACTCCGTTATCCCCGGAGTCATTATAACCACTGAATAACCCGCACAATTTTTGGTAAGCCTCAAGTAGATGAATTGAATCGTAACTGTGGCGATGCAGGTCAGGATGGGTATTTCTGAGAATAATGAAGAGAAGTGTAATTCAGAAAAAACACCAAGAGTGAAGATGTGGCAGGTGCAAGCGCTGGTATCTTATGCGATGCTAATTGACACAAGGGCTACTGGACGGATATAATTTTGAAACAGATTGTAAGGCGCATATAACCGTACACGGTCTTAACAAAGTCAGTCAAGCAGTCTTCCATGAGAATACAGAGTGAAAAGCTGTCAGCGTTACAACAGAAGAAGTTAATAAAGGCATGAATGACTACCAAGCAGGAAATGAGCAGAAGCGCGTCGCTAAGTTATGACACAATCGTTTGATGTTCGACCAGTGCATTCATACTAGTAACGAAAAACATGAACAGAAAAATCAGCAGAGTGACTCGAATGTCATTAATACAGTCAGAAACATAAACGAACTTCAAATGTAATAGTTAAATGAATGAGACTGTACCTGCCACCACCTATCCCAATCAAGCGGAATGACAAGGGCCCCTAGCCAAGCTCCCACCACAGCTCCGACAATTGTTCGACGAGCTACCAATTCAAAATGGGTGCCACTCCTGCAATAGTGCAAATATCAACGTCAAAAAGCCATCGAACGTTTTGTGAATCACTCGATTATAAATGTTTTTGGCTGCAGGCAAGTCAGTAGCAAATGCGAGCAGTAAGCTTCGCTCCAGTTTTGAGCTCATGAGCTCGAGTTCAGCAGTTTTACGATAAAGAAGCCAAGATAGAATATGTAACATAAGTAAACAGAATTCCGTGTCGTTATGTTTATTAGAGATAAATGTGAATTCTCATTGAGGAATCCTTGTACGGCGTTGCCAAGCTCTAAACTTATAGAGACCATAAACTAAAACTAACTTGCATACAACCATCCTTCATCAAATACGTTAATTGCAAGAGCTAATTTTGACTGCTTCATTTTTCAATTGGATACGTTCGAAACCAAAAAGATTTTTTACAAAATTCGAGAACGAAGCCTACCACGTCCATTACTGACATGAAGGAAATCAAATAAAACCATTAACATGTTTAAGTGAAAGTAACATATTTCAACGAATACAGATTTGAGCGCAGAATAGAAATGGAACACGTGCGAACTCTCTGAAAAAAAAATCTTGACCTGCATTCAGTTTTAAAATTGTTCTGGTGGAATTGTTTTGGGCGGTTTCCGAAGGTTTAAAGTAGTCTGTCTTGTATGGATTGAATATCGTTTTGATAAAGGGCGTACATAGAGACTGCATGCCCCTAGCAAGATATTTTCATCCCTTGATCAAATAGAATTGAACAAGTTAAAAATGCGACGACGTTAACTAGTAATAACCGGGACCACGAATTTCTCGTACAGCTCAAGAGGGTGATTATCTAGCACATATACAGGGCTACAGGAGCGACTCCCAACGTGTCCAACCTAGGTGTTCTCTGTTGACAATGACAACCCGTTAGCGGACAATCATTCTTACTTATTTCTTACTGGATGCCTCACATGTGATCGATCTTCAACATTTCAGATACCTTAGTGTCACCAGCCATAGTGAACATCGGCAATATGATGATAATGAGGGATATCAGCAATATAAATATAAATGGAACTGGGGATAACACCCCTCATTGTAGAACAGCACTGGATACAACACGAGAATTGGAAAGAGATTCATCAAGATCCGTGTTGTTAAGATTCAGTTCAAGACCAATTTTGAAAAACTAACGGATTCGATTTGTTTACTGGAACCCTGTGCGACAACTTAACAAAGGCCCTACCAAAATCGAAGAAGACTACGTCAACTTGTTTGTGTTCCTTTTTGCCTTTCTGTTATTTTCTTCGATTTCCGATAATAATCATAATCATAAACATTTAATCAAAGAAATCTGAAGGGGAAAAGGTGCAGAAAGTCTGTTGCTACTGAAGTTACAAGAAGTAAAAAGGAACAATTTGAAAGAATAAGCTCAGGACCAACCTTCCTTCCAGTAGCGAAAGTGGTAGCCCAGTGAGCAGTGCTAGCCAAACAGAAAGCGCGGTGGTCGAGTACAATTCACTGAGCACGGGAGCGCCAAAAATGACACAGAAAATGTAGAAGGTAGCGAACAGCTGCACAACGTTCAGAATTGTGCCTGATACGCCCTGCATAGAAGCGTACTGAGGAAACGCACCTGAAATGTTTTACAAAGGATCGTATAAGCATTCTTTCACACGGCTACTACAAAATATTATTGTCGAGCATAACGTGTGCTTAAACAATGACAAAAACAGGATGGCTTAAAGATTCATGTAAACATGACAATAACACTCTACAAACAAATTATTCAGCTATGGAAGATAAGAGAAATTTCAAAGCGGAACGGAACTGTTTCGAATTTTAACATAAACCATTCACCCATGGTTTTTCTTGCCTCTTAATTACCGGCACAAAAAAACTCATTCTGAAACTCGTTAGTGGGCTCTTATCAAAGCTATAGTAGGTTTAAACTCTGGGGTGATGCAGAGCATTTCCACAAGAGAGCAGGAACATTACAAACGGTCTTTGGCTTGTGACAAACCATGGCAATGTGTTTTATATTCGTTTATGCTTGCCACCCACTTAAGGCAACCTCCACAACTTCGTTTTAGTAATAAAAGTCTTACGATGGTCACGTCGACATAGTATCTTTCCCTGCACGATGATGACTGTTTAAGGACCACGTGGCATCTTTCGGAGTGATTTGAAATTGCCTCCTTATTTCGAAATGCTCAACCCACTCCCATCCTCTTTCTTTTTTCTTAACAAATGATACATTCCGTTTAACCCATTGGCGATCGCGCTTTTTTAGCGTGTCTGGCGTGTGGGACCGAGCGCGCTTTTTGCGGGCTGCCACACGGTCCCAGGAGCAAGTCAATTTTTTCGT